CAGTGGCCACAGGATAGGAAAAGGTCAGTTTACATTCCGATCCCAAAGAAGGGCAATGCCAAAGAATGCTCAAACTACCTCACCATTGCACTCATTTCACATGCTAGCAAAGTTATGCTCAAAACCCTACAAGCTAGGCTCCAGCAGTATGTGGACCGAGAACTACCAGAAGTACAGCAGGATTTCGAAGAGGCAGAGGGACTAGAGATCAAATTGCCAACATACGCTGGATCATGGGGAAAGCTAGGGAGTTCCAGGAAAACATCTACTTCTGCTTCATTGACTATGCTAAAGCCTTTGATTGTGTGGATTGCCAAATTGTGGCAAGTTCCTAAAGAGATGGGAGTACCAGACCATCTTATTTGTCTCTTGAGAAACCTATATGCGGGTCAAGAAGCAACAGTGAGAACTGGGCACGGAACCACTGATTGGTTCAAAATTGAGAGAGGAGTTCGGCAAAGCTGTATACTGTCGCCCTGCCTATTTAACATATATGCAGAGCACATCATGAGAAAGGCGGGCCTAGATGAATCACCAGTTGAAATTAAGATTGCTGGGAGAAATAACAACCTCAGATATGCAGAAGATACCACTCTCATGGCAGAAAGTGAAAAGGAACTAAAGAGCCTCTTGATGTGGGTGAAAGAGGAGAGTGCAAAAGTTGGCTTGAAACTCAACATTAAGAGAACTGAGATCATGGCATCCGGTCCTCTCACTTCCTGGCAAATAGATGGGGAAGAAATGGAGGTAGTGACAGATTTTATTTTCCTAGGCTCCAGGATCACCGCAGATGGGCACTGCAGCCAAGAAATTAAAAGATGCTTGCTCCTTGGGAGGAAAGCTATGGCAAATCTAGACTGCATACTAAAAAGCAGAGACATCACCCTGCCGACAAAAGTGCGTATAGTCAAGGCTATGGTTTTCCCAGTTGCAATGTATGGCTGTGAAAGCTGGACCATAAGGAAGGCTGAGCGCCGAAGGATTTAGGCCTTTGAATTGTGGTGCTGGAGGAGACTCCTGCGAGTCCCTTGGCCTGCAAGGCAATCAAACCAGTCAGTCCTAGAGATCAACCCTGACTGCACTCTAGAAGGCCAGATAGTGAAGATGAAGCTCAAATACTTTGGCCACCTAATGAGAAGGAAGGACTCCCTGAAGAAGAGCCTAATGCTGGGAACAATAGATAGCAAAAGAAGAAGGGGACGGCAGAGGATGAGGTGGCTGGATGGAATCACTGAAGCAGTCGGCGTGAGCTTGAGTGAACCCTGGGGATGGTGGAGGACAGGGAGGCCCGGAGGAATGTTGTTCATGGGGTCGTGATGGGTCAGACATGACTTCACGACTAACAACAGCAACAGCAAGCCTTACGTCCATTGTAGGAAAAACAAGGGAAAGGCTCATAATAGCGAGATCTAGTAACCCTGGATAGGTGTCAGCATCCGGGGCGAGGGCGGCTGACAGGGTCAAGGCACCGGTAGACCCAGGCAGACGGGGCATGGCAAGAGCAAGTCCAATACACAGCCAAGGTCAAGCCAGAGGTCGATATCCTAGGCAAGTCTGTAGAGACAGGTAGCATAGTCCAAAGCCAGCCAAGCAGAGACCCAAAGAAGGCAGACCAGTCAGGGAGAGAAGAGGTGCAGGCAGGATGCTGGAGCAGAGTTCCAGGTCTAACAGACCAGGAAGGGCTTCGCCAACAGCAGGAGAACTTTGTTGTTGAGGAAGCTTCAGAGAGGAAGAGCCGGTTCTTATATAGCTCGTCCCCAGGACTCCCCAGGTGGAGCTCCTGAGAGCCCTGGCAGCTGCAGTGGGCGGAGGTCAGAATCCTGCAACCCTCAGAGCTGATCTGCAGTCCCTTGGCCAGCAGAGGGAGCCCTAAACCTGCCTCCAGTCTTGACAGTAGGGAAGAACAGTGGGCGGCCACACGACTCGGCTTCCGCAATAGCAGGTCCTGCCAGACGAACCTTGTGGAATTCTATGACACTAAATACTGCCAGGACAGCATGTTTTCCTAACCCTAACACTAACCCTAATCCTAACCGTAACCCAAAACCCAACCCCAACCCGAACCCTAACCCTAACCCTAAATCATGCCAGGATAGCACGTTTTCCTAACCCAAACCATAACCCTAAATCATGCCAGGACAACACGTTTTCCTCACCCTAACCCAAACCCTACCCCTAAATCGTGCCAGTACAGCAGGTTTTCCTAATTCTAATCCTAGCCCAAACCCTAATCCTAAATCGTGCCAAAACAGCACGTTTTCCTAACCCTAACCCTAACCCCACCCCTAACCCTAACCCTAACCCTAAATCATGCCAGGACGACACGTGTTCCTAACCCTAACCCAAACCCTAAATCATGCCAGGACAGCACGTTTTCCTAACCTTAACTCTAACCCTAACCCTAACCCTAAATCATGCCAGGACTGCACCTTTTCCTAACTCTAACTCTAACCCGAACCTGAACCCGAACCCTAACCCCGCCCACCGCATGGAGAAGCTGCTTCTACTTGGAGCTCCCTGTTTCTCCTCAGAAAAACGTCCAATTTTGCAGGAGATGTAGAGAGTGCTGAACCCCCTTTCCGTGGGGGTGACAGAGAGAAGCTTGGGGATCATTCTGGTGCTCTCATGGATCCGGAGACCCCAAGTTTGGCTGAGAAAATCGGAAGAGAAGAAGAGCCCTCCCTTCTCTTCACACGGAGGCTGCAAGGAAAATGGCTGCACACAGTGAGTGTTTACAGGAAAACTCTGAGGGGTTTGTGCAGGCACAGCAAGAGACTGGGGATTCTGCAAATGTTGGGGTTTGTAGAGTGGACTTCAGGGAATGCCTCGATATAACGAACGTTGCTGGCAGCCAGCAGTTTTCACGGAAAAGTTTTGAGAAAGGAGCTGCCCCCCCTCCTTCACAGGGTGACTCAGCAAATCTGCCTTTGCAGGAGAAAACAATGCAGCAGGAACGGGAGCCTTTTTCTCAAAACAATGAAGAGAAAAGGGAGCTTTTTGTTTCACAGTTTTGTGGGGAAGACTTGGAAGGTTTGAATAAGGAAGAAAATGTTTCAGGGAGCCCTGTATTTTCCAAGATAAAGGCTGCAAAAGTAGTCCCTTCCAGCGAGGCTTCTCCACAGCAGATTTCATTGCAGTTGGGAGAGGCTACACCCACAGTTTGTTTACAAGAGCCGTTGCTTTACTCTTTGGAAGAAAGCATGAAACACAGTGATTTAACACGTCAAGGGGAACTCATAGGACAGCCTTTCTGTCTAGAGGAACCCCCAAACAGTACCCAGGGACTTTCAACTGAGGAAATGGGGGACAGAGAAAGAGACAATCTGGAAC